TTTTTATTTGTTTGAATTTTTTTTTTTAATGTAAACTTGAAAAGAAATAAAGCAAAGTCCACAAATTTGCCCAGCAAGTGAGAACTATATGAAGAGCTGCTGGCTGTTGGCTGCTTACAGACATCAATCCATTTCCTGTCCAGTTCAATCATAGTGTTTGAATAGTTTCCTTCTTCCTCACAGTCTGGTCAGGAGAGGAGCAGGCAGAGAAATAGCTTTAATAGAAATCATAGTGATTTGTGGGAACCCTAAGTAAGAAAATCAGAAGCTTTGACCTCAGACGTGTTGAGTCTTGGCTCCCACAGTTGTAGTTCCCTGGCCTTGGATCTAATATGAGCCTCCTCCCCCCAGTAACATGGAGAAACACCTGCTACAGGATTTTTGTGAAGTTTAAATGAGTCACTGTCGGTGAAACTCACAACGCAGAACTGGGTACGCATTAAGTAATCACCTCAGCAGTCTCCTTTTCCCCTCCAACTGTTCTTTGTGCTTAGCTTCGGACAGCTGCCTCAAAAGCTGGCTGGGACTTGGTTCTGGCAGGAGCCCCTCTGGCTCATTAATGATATTGGTAAGTTTTGCCAGAAGGTTCAGACTCTTCTTAGGAAAAGAATAGATGGACCATCGTCCCAACTCATCTGCAGTTTCAGTTACCTGTGGTCAGATACGGTTGGAAAATAGGTTAGTACAATGCAGTACAATAAGGTATTTTGAAAGAGAGCAAGGGAGACCACACTCATATAACTTCTATTACAGTACATTGTTATAATTGTTCTATTATTAGTTATTACTTATCTCTTACTGTGCCTAATTTATAAATTAAACTTTATCCTAAGTATGTATGTATAGGAAAAAACACAGTATATATAGGGTTCGGTACTATCTGAGGTTTCAGGCATCCATTGGGGATCTTGGAATGTATAAAGGGGGAACTACTGTGTAGAAATTGACTCCTAGGTACGTTCCAAAACCACCCATCTGAGGTTTGATGAGTAGTGATTGGATCTAGGCTCCACATGAGTTTTTTTTCTGTGTGCCTTCGCTATCTAATGGACAGATGTGGAATTTCCAAGGAACCTGAACTCTGCCTAGTACGTCGGGGGGTGGTGAGGGGTGAATGGGTGGGAGACACACCTGTCTGGATTAACCTTTGTAGTGTAGAATCTTGTGTAGGTGCTGTGGGTGTTTCTCCTCCAGTTTTGAACCAATTCTCTTTTACCCCTGCAATTTAAAAGCAAGTTTGCGCATAACAGCACTAATCCTTTTAAATAATGACAAGGATACTTGTTTACATCACTAAAATATAATACTACAGATTTCTGTCCTAGTTTCACCTTGGGCACTTAAAAGATGAGACTCTTTAGAAAAATACCACCACACTTGACTCCGTTACCACAACAATGAAAATACAGAACCTATTTGCTCATCTAAAAAGGTTTCTGGGGCTCGCTGGTTAGCTCTGTTAGAGTGCAGTGTTATAACACCACGGTCTAGTGGTATGGATCTCATACCAGCCAGCCACCAAAAAATAAATAATGAAGGTTTCCATAACAATGAATGGGTCTGTAACAAGGAAACTGGTATGTCCTGAAACTAAAGACGTGATTAAAGAATGCTTAAAAAAACAGCTATGCGAATTTCTGAAAGATCACCTGGCTAAAACTGCCCCCTCACCAATGCAACATAGACAATAGTAGCAAACATTAAACGCAAGGATATTAATTTTACCCACGACATGGGGATTTACTCTAACCAAAGGAAAGTCCTAAAGAGAGAAGTAGAGGAAGGTATGAATAAGTCAACTTGGAAAAATGAAAGACTAAAGATAACAGTTTCTCCAAGTTAATATGAAGATATGATGAAGTGTCAAGAAAGTCTCTGAAGAATACTTTCTGTAATTTGCAAATAGTGAAATTAACCTGAAAGAACAAGCAGAGAAGAATATCAAAGATCTTTTTTTTCCCCAAAAAATTCATGATGGAGCAAACATGTTAAATCCTCATGGTGGGTCCTTAG